GCATAGCATAGCATTTATCATAACGGGTTACATAAATAGCATATATTTAACGCTAAGGCTGATTGGGAACAATAAAATATATAATGTATATACTATAAGATATATTATATTATATAATATCTGATATTGTATCGTTATACCTGATACTGTACATACGTACTGTAGGTACAATAATCGGTAAGATAATAAATCAGTAATACAGTTGCTACACAGTATTCAACTATGATAACGATAACAAATATAAAAATCATTAATAACAACGTAAATGTTTTACCATATATTGTATGAATCCAATAATAAGTACGTATGTAAGTGACTTATTAGTTATGATTAGTTTCAACGAACATATTTTTATGATTATCTATTATGATTAGTTTCAACGAACATATTTTTATGATTATCTATTATGATAAAAATTAAAACGGTAGATCTGTATGCAAACGTTTTTTTTTTCAATTTATTCATATAAAAAAATTCAAGAAGAAAGGCGGAGTTTTAATAAACAAAGTTGAGACCATAGTGATATGGCGTGGGATTTCTTACTATTTATGAATTAAAAGAAAAAAGTGTCATATCCAAATTCTAAACTTTAAACTCTAAACGTGACACGAATCACATGCGAATCAGTGTAAGTATTGCGACGTTAAAATGATTAGTGATAATGTAACAATAAAAGTGTTGAAAAACTGTGTTATTAATAACGTAAGCATTAATATAAAGCATTAATGTGAGTGGTTGGATGGTGAGTAGAAAAAAAAAATTATAGGGATCAGAAATTGATTTTTGGGAGTTATGCTGTATTTATAAACTTTCGAATTTTCGAGTTTTATATATAGTATAAGTATAGATATCTTTCAAACCCCTTTATATGGACAACAACAAATTATATTTGAAATATTTTAAGTAAAATTGAGAATTTAATGGTGCTTGCATGTGTAGGATACTGCATGTTGTTGAATACTTTATATTTCCGGATACATAATGTTTTTGAATACAGCATGTTGTATGAATACAATGTGTATCGGATACGTACAGAGTACATTATCATTATTCATAAAATAGAATAAAATTACACCATTTTACCATAGCGACGAGGGTGATAAGAAAATATGAAACATAGAAGAATTACACAGAGAATGATAACATGAAACCATATATTAGGCGACGAATAGTGGAAATGTAGGACATTATATCATTCTGCAATTTTCATAATGGTTGAGAGATGTAATTATACCTAATTAAAGCGAAATACTGAGTAAATGACCAGAAGAGAATAAAAATATGTCGTTAATCACTACGAAATTTGGAATAAAAATAATGCAGAGAACAATGATAAAAAGAGAGGGTTGTGCTTTTAAGAAAAAGAGCGCCTGTATTTATACATCAATGATGCATTTAAACAGTATTACGAAACTGGTGATATAAACCTTTTTGTGGAGAAGATCACGAGAAAAATATCGGTAATTTTTAAAAATAGATTAACCGAGAGACGAATCATCATTATTACAATAATAGCTAATAATAGTTTCGATGATGATACGTAATAGTTTCGATAACGACAAGTTTCAATAATATTAATAGTTTTAACAATAGTTTCAATAATCATTTCGATAATAATTTCGATAATAGTTTTCAATAATAATTTCGATACTTAATAATTTCAATCATAATTTCAATTATAGTTTAATAGTAATTTTCGTAAAGATAATAACGTATATAAATTGTAAACCTGAATAAGAACATAATTCCTGGTAGCAACGGAGTCATTGAGTTACCGGGTCATTGGATCATGAATTCGTTAAAGCAAAAAGAGGTGAACTTTTGTTCAAACAATATTTTCAACAATTAAAACACAACTCCGCAGATTAATTTATAAATTTGGATAGACATGATTGAGTTAATATTAAATTATATACCGCCCGTTTGCTTCAATGGAGATTGATTTTTAAATATTTTCTTGTCATTTAATAATAGTCGATCAATTCATTGGAGAACAAAAAAAAAAATTCATTGTTTCTTAGAATTTAATAGGAGTACACACACATCAGGCAGATCTCGCCGTAATGACCACATGAGAATCTTACATCTTTTAAATAATCTGGGGAGGGTTTTAAGAGTTCAACAACGGCCCCTCGTTTGTTCTTTAGAGGCTGTGCAATCATTAAAGAAAAAGTCCCCACATCCGGTCAAGTAAGTACAAAAAAAGTCTAAAAACCCGTTTTTGTACATTTCTAGATTCTTATTTATTTAACCCTGGTGAGAACTTTTTTGTGTCACTCCTCATGTACATACGTATAATTACTATAAAGTTATTACACGTATTTATAAAATTATACGTATAAAAATTATATATATCTATATATCATATATATATATCTATATATCATATATATGATATATATATATATATATTTATATATATATATTTATATTTATATTTATATTTATATTTATATTTATATCGATTATATATCGTTAGCGTTAGTCATTAAAACAACATAAATACTTTAAATTTTTTATTAAGTGATCGTGAATGAACAAGGATTATATTATGCTTAGGTAGCAGCTTATTAAGGCAATTCTTACTTGGAATTGTAAGCACGCACGATTATGAATTTGGATAAATGCCATGAGATTTACGCATCTCATTCAAAAGTTTACTAGCCGAATGAACAATTTTACGATAACTCCATTATATTCGTAAAAGAATGACAATAGTTCTTTAGTTAGAAATTCGATCATGTTTAATAACTAGTAATTTTTACTAGGTATGAATTTATATATCTGATATAATTTAAAAAATTTATATTATGAATAAATTTGGGAAGTAACAATGAAACATTAATAAATTTGATTATACATACTTATCATTATAATTACTTTATAAATTATTTATACTATTTATAGTGCATGCCCATTAATAACCATTAATAATAATAATTATTATTTAATAATATATACTTAATTATCATGTAAAAATACTCAACCCGACCAAACCGTTTTAAGAGATGTCTTTTTGCATTGAATGACCGAAACGGGTGTAAGGTGACCACTCTATCAATGCGCTTTTTAAATTATTGAACTTGTTTATAAGCTTGACTTTTAATGAATTCAATTTACAAGTAAAATCCTCGAATTTTTTTTTTTTTAAAGTTTACCCAAATATAAACTTGTTCTTTTAACTTGTTTTTCTTTTATAGTAAAACATGGATTTAAACTCGTTAGTTTTGATAACTTAGATTATCTTTATTGATCCGGTCGAATGAGTCATTTTTAGTCTGTGCGTTTTATATATTATTAATGTGTCTGGTGATACCTACCTTCTAGGTTTATTATACTTTATTATACCTTAATTTTATTTCTAATCTTATATATAATTTTAAAATTTATTATTTTTCTAGATTATCACTTGTCGTTATTTAGTAATATCTTATTATAGGTATCATCAAGAATTATTGTTATTTTAAGTGTTATAGTAAGCTTTCAAGTGCTAATCGTTTTCAGGAGATTCAGGTTTTAAGATAGTCGCGACAATCTTTTACCCGACTTTTATATGTAGTAGATCGTAAAAGAGAAATAAAAGATAATAAAGTGAATTTTTAATAAATAAAAATCTAATATTATATTTATTATTACTATAATATTATAATAATAAATAAATGTTCTTCTCGATAGTGTTACCGATCATGATCCACCTTTGTATATCTTTTTTTTTTTTTTTTTTTTAAATTTTTATTTATTATTATTTTTTTTATTATTATTATTAAATTTAATATTTAATTTATTTTATTCATAATAATTTAACACAAGAAATAGGTTTATTTTTACCTAAGTATGTCAATTAGGTTAATTAAATACCGTGTTCTGTTTATGAATAATCAATCATTTCATTTACATTTGGATTGATTATTTTTCTTGTCCTTATATTTATAAGAAATCTTACCGATACCTTTTATATGTACCCAAAGTACAATGATGATCTTATATTCATAAAAAAAACCTGGTGATAAACATTTGTACGGCCGTACGTTTTTTTTCGGATCATCCATGTAAAACATTAACCCACCTGTATATATTTTTCCTACTTATCGGCTTGCTTTTTTTTTCACTCTATTATTCTATATATTTCTTTCTTGATTACGGTCTATGATCTATGATAGATTTTTTGGTCATCACCCCTTCACTTGGACTGTTGGACCTCTTCTAATTTGAGCCTAATGCCTACTTTCACTATGCTCATGCAGTGTACAACCCATAATCTCCTGCTTGGGCTTTTTTTTTTGTGCTTGCATTCGATTTTTTTTTCGTTTTCTTTTCCACACAACACAACACAAAAAAAAAATCAACACGCACAACAGTAACATAAGACAGGTAATATAGTATCTTCTTTGGCTAAACCCTCCCTTTTTTTTTTTCTTTACCCTTTTCTTCTCCTTTTCCCCTTTCCCCTATTTTTTTTTTTTTTTTTTCTTTTTTTTTTTTAAACTTCTTTCGTTTATTTGTTTCTTTTTCTTCTTTTTCCGTCTCTTTTTTTTTTCCTTGTATTGTTGTTATCAATAATAATATGCCGCCATAAATTATCTAAAGTCCTCTTGATATTTACTACTCGTGATAATTTTACTCTGATAAATTATATAAAGTCGTATACTCTTGCTAACATTATATTTTTCTATTCTCTTTTTTTTTTTTTTTTTTTTCCTTTTTTTCACCTTCTGCATCTACCCCGCTTCTCTTGTTACTTGAATTTGTATAGACTATATTTATATAAAGAAAAAAAATATCAGTTATTTTCAGTTTCAGTTATTTACAGTTGTTACTGTTATTACTGGTATATATCTGTTGACCTTTGTTTACCTTAGTTATCTTAGTTCCTCTCTACCCGTTTTCATTCCCCTTAACAAAAATAAAAAAAACTTTTATAAAATCAAAAAGTCTTTAGCATATTTCAAATTATATTTTTTATTACCTTTGGTCGTACTGTTCTATTCTCCCACCGGGTAATGGAAATCATAAAAGATCATAAAGATCGACCTCCTGCTTTACGGCGTTCCTTAAGAATACAAAACAGGGACGAGAGAAGGCGACGTGAGGATGTTGAACGTAAAGAGATTGAAGAACGAGGTGCCTTAATACGGCTTCCAAAACGCCTTACTAAACTACCTGCTTGTAAATCCGCTTCAACCGTCATGCCAAAGAGAAGAAAACTTTATCGTTATATAAACTTTTCTCACCTTGGTAATTCTGGTACTACCGTTAATCTTACAAACATCCCTTTGGATTTACTAATATATATGTTGGAATTCCTTGGTATACTTTCTTCATTTCTTCACGT